GAGAAAGGAAGATTCGCAGTAGGAAGCTGTGGGGGGAATGTGGAGGAAAGCAGACTTGACGAGAAGATCACCGAATTGGGAGTCCCCAGCCCTGTCCTAGAACCTGGGGACACTGGTCCCTGAGCTGAGCTGGCTGATGGCTTGAGCTCTGGCCAGGCCCCACCAGGGGCCTTCTCCCTCAGTCCCCACAGTATCCTGTCCCCAGGAGAATCCCGAGCCCTGCGGGCAGGGGTGGGGAGCTTTTCAGGTCACGTTGGACACCTGCAGGCTGAGCCCGGTTGTGCCCAGGCCAGGCCTGTCTCCCCTCACCCCCTACCTCTAAACTGCCCCCCTTCCAGGCCCCACCACTGCTGGCTTCTCCCTCCCCCACCCTCCCCCAAAGTCCTGGCCGAAACTACCACTTCTCATTCCCACCACTTACTGACCACTTCCAGACCTTTGCTCCTGCCTTTCTCTTATCCAGCAATGCCTGCTTTCCCCACTCTTGGCCCAATTTAGTGGTTTCTTGGAGCCCACTGGGACCAGATTTGATGCCATTTGGTATGCTACTGAGCACTAGTAACTTTTTCTAAGTTCTCTGCGTGGTTTAATATGCAGCAGGTGTAGAGAACTCCTTTGCCTCCTTTAAGCCTCTGGGTACTAGCCCAAGACCAGAGTCAAAGTGGGACCTGCCTTCTAGTACCAGCTGGATGATAGGTACCTGGAAGATTTCATGCGATCTGACTTGCTGCTGACAGTCACTCCCGTGTGGCCCTCTTTACAGTGAGGCTCTAGACGCACCAGCTCCCTTGGACATCCCTCGTTTGGGCTCAAGAAGACACCAGCAGGTTGTACCAAGCCAGGCAACTAGTGGCAGATCCTGATGGCCCTAGAGCTCCATGGCCTGGCTAGGATCCCTGCCCAGGCGGAGGAGGGACAAAGCAAACAGGGGAGTGCTGCCTGGGGGAGGAGGAATCTAGGCTGCACCTGGGAGGCGGCTTCAGGGGTCCAGGCTCATACCAGTAGACCCTAAACTGAACCAAGGTGTGTGGGGGCAAGGATTCAGCAACAGCTGAGGATGTCTATCCCGAGCTCGGTTGCAAAAGACAAACTGTAGGCAGCTGGATGCCAGAGAGGGTAAATGCCAGCTAGGAGGACTGGCGGCACCTCCCATCTCCTGCATCGGCTACCCCAACCCAGCCACCTTGGGTTCCCATCTCTACCGCCCCGGGATGACCTCCACCTTCATGACAGGCACCCATAGAGCCCAGAGGGTCCTGTTCCCTGCAGCATCCTCAGACACTGACATCTGACAGACAGGCCTGAAATAAGCTGGTGACTCACTAAGGTGACTGAGTGACTGAAGCAAGCAATTTAGGAGACCCAGACAAAAAGGGGGTGAGGCAGGCAGAGGAACCCAGACTTCTGAGCCTTTGACTCTGTCTGGAGCATTGGCTGGGAGATGTACAGGCTGAGACAGGGGAGCAGGGTGGTGGACACTGAGAGGCAAGGGGGGGGGGAGGAAAGGGAAAGGAAGGGAAGGGAAGGGAAGGCCACAGAAGGGTACAGGACATGCCTGAAGCAGCCTAGAATCTCCACCCAGGCCCACCATTGGCCCGGGAGAGAGGCCTGGCCCCAGCCTCAGCAGAGAGAAGGGGCACCAGAAAGAGCAGGGCCGGGCTGGGGCCAGGGGGCCAGGCCAGGAGAGCTGGCCTGGTGTGCCCGCCAGAGCACCCAGGAAATACAGAAGAAGGAAGAACAGCCAGACACAGGACTGAGCCTCCTGCGTTCCAGGTTCTGAGCACCGGAAGGGGACCCTGGAGGCTCCGGCCAGGGCTCCTGTCCCACCGGCAGTGCAGGACTGGGGGGCTCTGTACAGGTAGCATCTGGGTGAACCCAGGCTCTGACTCCCACCCAATCATATACACACCTTGGCTCCCCTAGAAGCCAGGACAGGCCACATTTCCCACCCTGGAAGCTCCCCTTTGGGTTGTGGGGGTAGGGTGGGGCCTATTTACCTGAAGGCTGCTGGGACCCAGCACCAAGCAGCACCGAAGGTCAGGAAGTCAATCAAAAGGCACAGAGAAGGTGAGTGGGGAGAAACTGGACCGTCCTTGGAGAAAGACTGGATCAGGCCCACACTCTCGAAAAGTGGCAGGAATGAGGGATGGCCAACGGGGCTGAGAGCAAGGCCTCTCTCCCCACCCAGCTCAGGTAGATCCTTGTAGAAACTCTCAGGACACCTGGTCCCAAGGAACATCTGAGTGGACTGGGGTTAGTGCCACCCCTTCCTGACCTGTCTCCCACCCACCCCGGCTGTGAGTGGAGGACCTCGGCAACCAGGTGTCAGCCCACCAGCCAACTCCAGCCCAGGACAAAACAGCTCCCTGGGACCTTCGGGGGCCACCGAGGAGACATAATGGAGACCTCAGCTGAACCTCAGGCTGCAGTGGCCCTGCTGGACCCAGAAAGAGCCAGAAAAATCTAGGGTCTGTCTATATGGGAGCTGCAGCCAGCCAGAGCCACTGAGAAAGCAATTTAGGTTGCCCACTCCCTTCCTAGCCTGGGACTCCACCATCCCATCTCTCCTGCTAAAGTTCCTGAATCGCTTTACCAAAACGAAGGGGGCGTAGAGAAGCAGAGACTGGCAGTGGGAGCAAGGGCAGTGGACACAGGACTCTGGCCTTACCCACCCACTGCCAGGCGGGGAATCCTAGCGAATTTGTGCCGGACAAACTCAACATATCTGGAGCCCTGCTTCTAGATAACCATGGGTGGGAAGGTCGCCCAGAGCCAAAGGGCGTCCCAATAAGCGTGCACATACACGCACCCAGCAAGGCACCCGCTACACACCCCTGCCACGTGGCCGTACTGGGTACAGGCGCACTCACTCTTCTTCATCCAGTGCTCACACTACGTAACCCGGCAGCATGTGGGTGGCAATCCAGTGGTTCTGCACAATCCACCTCCCGGGGAAGGGAGAGCAAGGGAGAGCGAGGCCGCCCTGGCAGTGTGCCCCAGGAAGAACGGAGGGGTGCGAGCGGGCCTGGGTTTGGAGAGCCTGGATTCAGGCGGCTGTCCAGCCTCTGGCAGCCGCCTAGCTCGGATCTCGACCCGGCCAAAGCCCGGGTTTGGTGAGAAGATCCAACAATTCCCCCATCTCCACACACACACACACACACACACACACACACACACACACACACACCATTCCCGTCTCACCAGTGTGCCTTGAGCTCCTCACTGAAAACTGCACACGGTCACGGAGGCCGGGCCCCACTTCGCAGTCCTGAGGTAGGGAGGGAGCCAGAGCGGGGACTCCTGCGGGCCGCCCACTCCCACACAGCTCGGAGAGAGTGTGGGGAAACACACAGGGGCACGGGAGAACGAGGGCAACCGCGAACTTCCCACAGTCAACCGGGACTGTCCTGCGCCCCCCTCGGGTGTTCCCTGCCGGCTTCCCCGCAGCCAGAGAAGGGGAGGCGACCCACTTCCCCGCCTGGTTCCGCGCAGCTCTGCAGGAGGCCACGCGCCTCTGCACAGAATGGCCAGCTCACGGTGAGTGTGAATGCGCCGGGAAGCCCAACTGAACGGAGACCTGAGTTAACCCTCACAGAATGTCTTTCGTGAAGCAAAAATTTAAAATGGAGAAAACAAACACACCCGGCGAGGTTCAGGAGCTGTTCCCTTCATTTTTCTTTGAACAGAAATCCGGACCTCGTGTGTGGCAAAGGGAACAGGCTTGGGAGCGGCAAAATTTCGAGCGGAGTGTTTGCTTTCTGCTTAGAATTCTTCTATACTCGACATGGCTTGCTTGAATAATAAAAATAAAATTGAGAGCGCCAGAGAGAAGGATTGGAGTGGGACATGATGACAGGCTGGATCAAAGACCAGCGTCTCACCGGGCCAGGGTGGAGGGCGTACTGTCCCTTGTGGGGGTCGCTGAGTTCCGTTATTCCTTCAGGGGCCGGGCCCAGAAGGACCGTGTGCGGACTCACCACACAGGCGCAGCATGGGTCCTTCCAACTACGCTGGGTCCCTCTAAGTCCCTCCCCAGGGAGGGTTACCAGACCTCCTACAACTATAAGCCTCCTTTCTCCAGGCCTCTGGGTGCCATGGACTCTCAGCATCAGCGGCGGATCCACGCTGCTCTCACTCTGCCCCACACCCCAAGCAAATAGTGCCGCTTGCTCTCCCACCTTCAAATTACCTTGTGGGCAAGTTTCCTTCCTTCCTCCCTTCCTTCCCGTTAGTACGGGGAAATAGGCCTCCTTCTCTGCCCCCTAGACTCTCCCTTTTCCAGGGGGCCTCAAACCCTACACTGCGGCACAGTGGCTCAATTAAATAATTGGTGCGCCCCTCCCACCTACCTTAGGCTGGGGGCGTTTGAGATCAGACACATATACACACTTAATTGCTTACATACACACTGGACATGCACTAAGACACCGACACACGCACACACACACTCATATACTTGCCCACGTGCTCCTCAGAGTCACGGAGGTTGCACCAGCAACGCACTCAGCCATGCCACAGCCATTTACCCCTGCACGCCCAGGGGCCCACCCCAGGTTCTGGGGCTGGAGCGTCCTCACTCACCCATGAGGGCCAAAACGGAAAAGCAAAGTCTGCTGTGGTAGCGCTTTAGGGAGAAGGGTCACGGGCCCTCCTGCGCACACACATCTTTTTTGGGCTCTCTCAATCTCTCTTCTAAGCTCCTCTCTCAGTTGAAGGAAAGAAAATCCGGACCTGGCCTCTCCTGTCGCTGTCAAAGGAGAAGCTAAACTCGGGTGTGCACGGGCTCCTCCAAAGTGCTGGGGACCTGGAGGCGCCTCAGACGACGGAGCGATGCCCGGGGTCACCCAGTGCTCGGCTCCACAGCCCGGCAGGACGTCCAGCCGCGCTCGCGTGGGCTCTCGCCTTTCTCCAGCCGAGCGAAGGCGAGATCTGGGACCCAGGACTGAGAGGCGGTGGGGAAGGGGTTCATGGGCAGGGGCGTGACGCAAGGAAAGGCCAACCTTCGTCCCTGTTGGAGGGTGCGGTCCCCTGTGGGAAGGCCTCAGAGCTGGAGGAAAACCGGGCATTTGTTGCATATCAGTCTCGTCCTCACTTGACCCTCTCGGCTCCTAGTGCCTGTCTGCTCGTCCGTTTTCTTTCCCCGGGCCAGCGCGGGTCATTCCAACAGTTCCCTTGCCTCATTCTTTCTGGCTCCTTTACTACATTCCCAGCCTTGCTCTCCCTGGAGCGCCAGGAGGGGCCTTCCGTCCGGGTTCAGGAGTGAGGCTGGAGGTTAGAATCTGGGGGCGGGGGTGGAGCGCTGAACCCTAGGCGCCAGTCCCCGCCTACAGCCGCCCCCTCAACCTCGCCAAGCGCGGGAGCAAGGCCTACGTCCAATTTTCTGCTACGTCTCCCCGGAGTTGCCTTCCCGAGGCATTTTGGTTATTGATTCAGCTGAAAAGCCGGAGCTCCAAGGCTGTGTGCTTCCCCGGGGACGAGGGGAGCGGGGAGGGGCGTAGGCTGGCGGCTGGAGGAGGGAGTTGATAACCAGAGGAGAGATATGGGGCGTTGCACCCCGGGCCGCCCAGCCTCCCTCCCGGGGCCGCGACTGGGCTAGACTGGCGGTGGGAGTTGTGGCGCCCCCGCGCCCCGCCCACGCGCGTGCGCTGCTCCCAGTCTGGCCCCTGGGAGTGACAGGCCCGCGACACCTGCCCAATCAGCAGAAAGGGGTGGGGCGGCCGCCGGGGGCGGGGCCAGAGGAGGGTCCGAGCCCGGAGGGGGGCGCGAGGGGCGGCGCGCCGCCGGCTTGGCCAGCGCTGGCTGCACCCGCAGTGGCGAGAGCGGCGGCGGCCGGCATGGGCGATGGGGGCGCGGAGCGCGACCGGGGCCCCGTACGCCGGGAGTCTCGCGGAGGGCGCGGCGCGGACCGCCGCGCGGCGGAAGAGTCCAGTGCCGACGCCGGCGGCCACAGCCCGGGGGAGATCGCCAGGACCTCTGCCTCTAGCCCCGCGGGCTCCAGGGAGAGCGGCGCGGACAGCGACGGGCAGCCCGGGCTCGGAGAGGCTGATCACTGCCGCCGCATCCTGGTGCGAGGTAAGAGCTCGCTGCCCTGGACCCCCTACCCTACCCCAGCTGGGGTCTCCGACCTTCCCGCAGTCTCCACCTCCCAATTAATGTATTAATTCCATCAGTCGTGATTCAGCCATTCACTCAGTCAGTATTATTTTGAGTGCCTATTGTGTGCTGGACAGTGACGCGAGTGTCAAGGACAAAGCCTCAAACCGGACCGAAGAGATCCCCGTTCCGCCGTCGTACCTTCGCAGCCCCTGGGGCCGGCCCCTCGCCGGAGGCTCACCGGGCTGGCTGCGGACGCAGGGGCGGAGGCGGGCGTCCGGTCCCCGCTCCGCGTGCCTCGCGGCAGGCCCGGAGAAAAGCATCGGGAGCTCTCTAGAGGGGTCAGGACGCGGAGGGACCAGAGCCAGGAACCGCCGCGGGAGGAAAGGCCCGGGCCCCGCTCCGCCGCCGCGGAGCTCCTCCGCCTCCAGCGCAGCCCCGTCTCCCACGGTCAGCCGGGCGCCGCACGGGTTGCTCTCTGGAAAGGCACCGGGAGAAGGGGAGGGCTCGCTCGGCGCCCGCCCGTGCTTCGCTCTGGGTTCCAACTTCCTCGCGGCGCCTGGGCCCGGCCGGTTGTCCGTGAGGCCTTCTTTCTGCCTGGCTTTTCGCGTCTCCCCCCTTCTTCCACCTCCCTTCTTTCCTGGCCGATTCTCTCCGCCGAGCTCGCCTTCTCAGCTCTCTCTCCAGCGAGCGCCTCTGGACGGTGCCCGAGTGAGTACCCGGCTCTCCCAGGCCTTCTCCCCCCGAGAACGGGGCTGATCTGACCACAGCACCCCCACCCTCCCAGCCAGCAGCCTCTCGCGAAGCCCTTGGCTCAGCTTTCGCCAGATCTCTCCTCGCCCTGAAAAATGAGGGGAGAAAGCGGATTCTGGGGTCTTGCCCTCGGCCCTTTTCTAGGCCACGACCAAAGCATCCCAGAGCCCCGGACCCGGAGACCCACAGCCCAAAAGAGGCCGCTCGTGTGTAACGGTTCCCCTGGCCCCCTTCACCAACTCCCTAGCCCAGCTTCCTTACGCTGCTGTTTTTCAGCCTCTTCTTTCTTAAACGTCTGTCCTGCCTGCTTCGGTCCTCTGGAATTTCCAGACCCACGGCCTGGGGAAGGGAGGGGAATCAGCCTGTCTCCAGGTCGCCCCAGCTTCAGGACCCCGAATTTGTCTGATCCGAGCTGGGCTACTCACACACAGAGTGGGACACTGTGGTCTGGTTCAACATAACCTCCTGGCAGCTGCTGGGCTTGGGGGCCTCTGGGAATGGGGGACAGGGCTAGGGCAGAACATGGAGGCAGCTCAGTGTGCAGTGGACTGATGCCGGTCACGGATCCAGGGAGCCTGGTCCTGGGTCAGATGTGGTCACCCAGAGACAGGGTGCCTGCCGCTGCTGTGGGTGTGGGCTTGAGGTATAGGGCAAGGCAGGGATTCCAGCAAGTGTGTGGACCTTTTGGGAACCTGGGACTAAATGAGATGCCATTTCATAGACTGTGGGGTTTCCTGGGTGCAAGGTGATAGCAGCCAGGTTCGAGTTCCATTAAGGAAATCCTCAGGGCTTACAGAAATGGAGAAATCAGTCTGCTAAACCCACACTACTCATTTAAGGCCCTCAAGTGCCTGTGACACTGAGCACCTCACACCCCATCTATGGGTGGGCATTTCCTTCCGGACAATACGAGTTCTGTGGGGTGCAGGACACCCATGCTGGGACCAACCCACAGCCAGGCAGGGATAGACTTGTGAGCATTTTCAGAAGGTGTACTTTCATAAACGCACATACAGTGATGCCGTCCCATTTGTACAATATAGTGAAAATACAGCACACAAGGCATACTTACATGCACCTAAAAATCAAAAGGTATAAACAGGGCCCTCATAAATCCCTTTGTCCTTTGCCATTGAATAACAATGAGGTTATTATGGGCCTGAGATACTTGGGGTGTTATTTAGCACTAATCCCTCCTAAACAGGGTCACCTGCGTCACTCCAGGCCCCACCGGGGCCCAGGGCAGAGGCTCTGACAAATGAAAGGCCCTGCAGTGGGGAAGAGAAGTCAGTAGTGCCTTAGCCCCAAGACGAATGTCCCTCCTGTATGCGCTAAGCAGAGAGTATATTTTGCCCTTGACCTCTGAGGACACATCCTAAGTATCTTCGGAGGAAATTTTAAAAGGTTGGAATGAAGGGGGTTGCATCAAAGCCTTCAGAATGCTGGCGGGGTGAGGATTCTGGGAATGAGCCCCACTCTCTCCGGGTTATTGCCCTTCTTTCCGCTTCTTTCCCACTTAGCACTTGCTCCCCTGAAGGCCCCATCCCACGGTGGCAGATCTTCTGGGGAGACCCGGGGCCCAGCGGGGCAGGAGGAATGCTTGGGTGCTGGAATTAAGTGAAGTTGGTTTGGAACACTGGCCTTACAGCCATTTGAATTTGAACTGGGTTTTTCCCCCTCTGAGCCCATTTCCTCATTTGTACTAAGAAACCCATAGCTCTTACCTAGAAGGACTGTGCCAAGGGTCAGAAGTGATGTTTATAAAACCACAAACACCCAGCAGAATCTTGGGAAATACTTCCTTGAACAACAAAGGGGGAGCTCTGAGGTGACCCACAAACCACTTCTGGGAGTAGGCCTCCTTTCTCAGGGGCTTCCCCCAACTCTCCTGCCCACTCCACCCCCTCGTTGGGCACTTGATCTCCTTTGGGCCCTGGCCCAACACGGTGTGGCGGTGCGCAGCGAGGGGTCAAGAACTGGCAGGTGAGACGAGGATTCCCAACACCTTGCAGACCAAACTTGCGGCCCCCAGTCTCTTCAGGAACTGCCTGCCGCTCAACCAATCACTCAAGTGACTACCTCTGCGGAAATGCGGGTCAGGGAACCGGGAGACAGACCTTGTTGCTGCCCCCACCTCAAAATGGAGGCTGCTTTATGCCACACGCCGTACAGACAAGGCTGCTGGGGTGACAGGCATGTGCACAGAACAGAGCACCGCACGCCCTGCCGTGGAGGCAGCTATGCTTCCCCAGGGAGCAAGTGGCCGGGCAGGCCTCTCCACATCTCTGTGTACAGGGCCGAGGGATCCTTTTGTTTCATATTCGTTAAGGGCTCACCCGCCAGGGGCAGGAGGCAGCGGGAAGGAGCTGGCTGCCTCCTTGCCGTGGCTTTAACTGCAGTGGTGGTGGCGTGAGGGCAGTGCAAAGGCCTTTTTGGTGGGCCCGGGATCCCCCGAACTAGTCACAAGAGGAAGCTAGTTCAAATTCAAACTCCCTGCAGCCTCACAATTTCTGCTAGCACCAGAACACTCAGAAGCTCCCATGTGATTCCCAGATCATTCCCAACTCGAATTCAACACTGCGTCTGGAAGCAGCCTGGAATGGCGGGCTGTCTGACAGCAATGCCCGAACAATGACTGTGGTGCCGGTCCCCACTTGCCTGGAGCGGTCCCTTGGGCCGGTGGGTCTCAAAAGCCACTTGGGCTGCTCCCTCTGCTCTCAGCTCTGTGCTTGCATTGGCCAACTGTGCTTCCACCTTGGCCCAGCTTGGGTAGGACTCAGAAGCTGCTCCCAGAGCGCTCTTTCGGCATACAAACTATGGCTCTCCCCGGCTGGCCCAGAGCCCCAACCTGTCTGGGAGCAGGAGTGCAGGAAAACTGCCGGATCCCGTGAATAGGTGAATGTTGGGATCCCCTCCCAACACCACCACCAACTAGCTGGCCCTCCTTCACCTGGGAGCCCTCGGTGACTGGGGACGCGTGAGGACAAAGGAAGGCCAGGGACTCTGGCTTCCGCTGGACAATTCCCTCTATGGATGTGAGTGTGGGGGAGGGGCCTGGCTCCCCTGAGAATCCAGGGACAGTACTGGACTCGTGCTCCAGAAACACACACGTTGGAACATTTACAGAAAGCAGGATGGTGGACACCTAGCAGGAGCCTGGCTGCCACAAATGCCTCTGAGGACTCTTGGCATGGTGCCACCGCTTCGGGGGAGTGGCCTGCAGGAACAGACTCCCCTTCCAGCAGCCCAGTCTGTACTAAGTCTTTGCCTTTAGTCCCCTCGCTTTCCGCTGGTATTTACAGCAGCCACCGGACCTAAGGAGGACTCGGCCCAGACTTCGCAGGCCTTGTCTGAAGGTCGCAGCAGCCCCAAGAAAGGCACACAGGCGGGCATTTGGGCAATGGAAAAGGCAGGCGCGGTGCTGTGTAGGAATGAGCGCCGGAGTGAGAGCTCTGCCCTCGGCAGACAGCAGGACCAAAGCTTCGCTATCTGAGTTTGTTAATGGACGCCATAACCCAGGACCAACACCCCAGCCAGCGGCTGAAAAATTTAAAGGGCTTACGCAGGGGACTGTACTTTGAGATTTGGGGATTTAATTTTAATTTTTAGTTTTGGGGTCTGTGAGAGAATTTCGTTTCTTTTTTATTTTCCTGCAGTTGTTTTGTTCCATGTTTGTTACGTTTTTCCTTTTTCTGTGTTTGCTTTTGGCTGAAGGGCACACATTCTCATCACTGGTCTGTGCTGGGCGCCATCATTTTGGTCTTTATTTTTCCTTTACATACATGCCCTCGTGCCCCACCCACCACAACACACGGAGGAGCAGGCCCACAGCCCAGTGAGTCGTCTTGTGTGGTGTGTCTGCGTGGAGTGTTTTCGTTTTCGAGAAGCTGTGCAGGGCATTCGGTGGTCCTCGTATTCTCATGCTGGCTCGGCCGCCCTGGGCGGACGCTTGGACTCCGTGGCTGTGGACCTGCAGCCAAATCTCTCTCTCTCTCTCTCTCTCTCTCTCACGCACACACACCCCCCTGCAGGGTTGCAGCTTACAGGTGTGGCCCACAGGGGACTTGGCAAGCTGGGAGACTGAGTCTCTCGATTGTTGAGACAGTAAGTATTTGGGACCGGAGGGGACCATGGGCCACACGTGCCCCTGTGCCTAAGCTGGAAAACAAATTAGTCCTCACCCACTGCGCACCACCTGTAGAGGGAGAGGGGTCTAAGGGTTTTAA